AATGGCATGAATTAAATGCTTCTGCATCATTACTAAGTATGAAACTGTTAGTTTTCAACACGCTGGTAATATGATGCCATATTGAGCATTACATTGCTAATATGTTGAATTATCAGCACTGTTATCATTTAGGTGTTTGTTATCGCTCGTACTATTATAATAAAACTAAATGTATTTAATGAATAAATAGGTAATGCCTTCAAATATTTAACTAATTTTCTCAGTAAATGAATCATTTTAAATGAATTCTTTAAAAAAGATATTGCAAATGTAATTTATATGTTAACTTCACGCATTATATTTCAGTATTACAAATTTAATGTTCCTAAATTGCTTTTTTGTTTTTTGCATCAAAACGATGCCCCGACGATCAGCACATAAACTATTATAAGAAGTGAACGAAATTCGCATAATACGAATTAACTGAGAGATGGCAATAATTTCAATATTTTCCTAACAAAAGTTAAGTAACAAATAACGCAAATATTATTGGTTCATCACAGTTGTTGAAAGCTGTTCCCGACAGTAACAAAGAGGTCGAACGTCTTCATCGGGTGCACAATGCCCTTGTTCACCGTACTTATCCAATCGAGTTATCTGAAGGTGTGAAATTAATTTCGAAAAAATGAGAGCATTTGGTAGGATAAAAAGCTTTTACTATTTAGTTACACTCTAATAAATAAATATAATTAAAATTCCTAAATTATATAAAATAAATAATGAATTAATACGGCGGCGAATACAAAAAGAAAATATAAAATGAAAAACAAAGAGAACAAAAATAATATTATTGAAAGAATGAATTAAATAATAAAACGAAATGATAAAATATAATAATTGGCAAGAAAATATGCTACTTTTGTGATTATTTTCAAACTATCGTTCTCCTTCAACAGTTGTGCTTCGTATTTTCCATTACTCGGTGAAGCATTTACAACTATTTTCAACACTGGCCGCCCTTCAAGGTACTCTACCGAAATTACCTGAAAAAGATTTAATGAAGATAAAAAGACAAAATAAAGCTAAAAGTATCTTTTATTTCAAAAAGATTATTCAAAACATTAAATTTCGTGGATGCTAACATGATTTTTTTCTTAGTAATATCTGAATTATGTAATAAAAAATCATATTCTTATATGCCTTATCACTATTATCACGCTGTCTCTGCGATCTTATCAAGTGAAATGTCATCACATCACAAATTACAAATTGAAATCAAATACTTCTGATAAATTCGCTTGTCAAGATTTAGTCAAACTAATCTAATGCTTCAAACACACTTGTTGTACAAAAGTTCTCCTACTATAGTTTGGGTTTTTTCACGCTTGACGATCTGCTCTATTAAATAATTGTCCATTAATTAAGATATCACTTCTATCAAAGAGAGTGTTTCGCAAATTCTACTCAGATTTCTCTGTTTCAAGAAATCGTTGATATAAGCGATGAGAAATTCCGCAGATTTTGTCGCATCATCACCATGTATATCAGACTTATGCCAAATTCGTTCACAAATACAATATTCATCTGGAATTTCCATTTCTTCACACGTCCTGTAGATTGAATATAAACTTCAAATGTTTAAATTCGGACTTGAGCCAAAAATGACTTTGTATTTGAAATTTGTATCCTTCTTAAAAAGGAAGCCATGATCATAAATTTAAGTACTATGTTTTACATAATCTTCATCATTCAGCTCTTAAAAATTTCCAAAGAATCACTGTCATAAAAATAAACACTAACTGTTTAACCTGTCATATAAAATAGGCCTTAGCAAACTCTTTGCACGAATTCCGCCTCTTATCTCACCGAACTCATTTCTGTAATTGAAACAAATATTGTAGAAATTCAAAGTTTTTAACAAAAATTAATCAATTTTAAAATCCTTCGAAATTATAAAAATTTTGCACTTCAAAAATTTCTTCTTTAGCGGTTGTTGAAAGTAAAATATTTAAACAATGTAATTATACGGCAAAGTTGATAAATTATGAAAAAACAAAAGGAGGATTTTTTGACTTCGTGAATTTCGTTGGGATAAATTTGTCAGCCAAATATTTCAATAAGGTGACAGCAAATAAAATCAATTCTTATTATGGCATTTCGATACTGTATGCAGAAAGAAAAAGAATTAAAAAATAGAAGCAAAACCTGAAATCATGTTCATTCCATTTTTGGAAATTATCTTTCCTTGCATATTGTGCTATATCATATAATGTTGCATAGAAATCAAATTGGGATGTATGTCTTCGAGAATTTTGTTTCAAATTTAAAATAAGCTGTTCATTTGAACGCAAATATTTTGGTAGTGCAACCTGAAGTGAAAGAAAATTACGATGTAATTTATAAGAGAAGTGCCCAACAAGATCCTCTGAAGAAAATTCCGGGATTTATCGATCGATGAAATTAAGCATCGTTTTATCATTTTTTCTCAATTAGCTATTGTTAAAAATATGAAGACCTGCCGTAAGCAATGGATTGTTATCTTCAATTTCACCAAATGGAGTACTTCGAATACCGCCAAATCGTAATCCGTGATCGCCCATCACAAATACGAATGAATTTTCCAAGTTCTCGATATGTTTACGAAAGAAATCAGCAAAATACTATAAACTATAAACGATTAAAAGAAGTTTCATTTTCCTAAACATTACTTGCAATATAATTAATAAAAAATTGAACAAAAAAGTATTTGTTCGAAATGGAAGACGAACCTTATCAGTGTGATACAATCCACTAGCCGAATCATGCGTTATCATTGACAACCAAACCACAACAAATTTTGAGATTCCATTATATTCACTTAAGAATTTACTCACATAATCCATTACTTTGTGATAGGGTTGCTGGCACTCACCCATATAAAAATGTTCGTCGAAACTTTTGTAGTCTTTTTCCTCCTTATAGGTGGTTCGCAGCACCAGTGCACTTCATATGAATAAATTATATATTCGGTTTATCGCTTCTCTAATAAAGTTCATACTAATTTTTCAACATGCTAAACGATCATTTATACACCGTTTTCTTATCGTACTTTACTCATCATATCAATGACGGGAAAGATGAAAATTTATTACAGAAAAATACATTTCATTTTATTAAAATAAACATCAATCAAATCGAATTACCCTCCGTAATGGTCGGTCGGTGGATCACGATAACCTTTACAATTTGGCCAATTAAATCCACCAATCCAATCTTCCGCTATTATTGACGCATAATTTTGATCAACGAAATCGTAAGTTACAGTTTCATTTCTTTTTACCCCATTCTGAAAATGCATCAGTTCATTGAGTTTTTAATGAATTGGAAATAGTATGCGAATATGTTAAGCAGCGGTCAAGAATAAGTGATGCAAGATGGAGATATTAATATATAAATGGGTTGAAAAGACTGACAATACAGTGACGAATGAGTGAGGGAGTGAGTGTATTAAAGATGAACGGACAGTGTGTTAAAGATGAATGGACATTACTCATTTATCAGTAATCATTGTCCGTTAATTCATTTCTTCATTGCTTTGATGCATTTTTACTTCTTGGAAATATCATAGCAGCAAAAAAGGAAAAGATAAATGAGAGAGTTAGGAATTCGAAGAAGTGAAACTTTATCATTCGTCTAAATATTTGGATTGATCACATTCATGCGAATTGTCAACAATCAAATGGTGTTACAATGCTCAACGAATACAAAGTCTAACTTACCTTGCATGAATTTGGATACTCCGATTTACTCCTACCAGGAAAACGACCCTCATCAAGTTCAGATATACGAGTTCCTGAAATATGAGAAGATGAAGATTTTAATTTTTTAAAAAATAGAAATAGTGAATATGACAGTTTGATATATACATAAGGCCTAATTTCATAATCATGAACAGACTGGAAAGAAATGTTGAATTACCTATCTGATGTATAATTTAACTTATATGAATTATCAAATCATCGAGCTAAATTATTCGAAATAGTCAAAATTAAGTTGAAAAATATCAAATTATCAAACAAACCTACATGGAGAACAAACTTTGCCGACAAAATTTCAATGAATAAAATTTAGAGAAGCTTATTAAAAAGTGAAGCTAAATGATGAAAATGGGCGAAAACAAAGAAGAAAGTAAAGATAATAAAATAATTAAATTGAAAAATGTTCATTCATCAGTATAATATGTAAGAAAAGACCTGAAAACATAGCGAAAGCATTTGGACGACTGTTAAGGCCAGCTTTGTTGTGATAATAAAATGTTGTCGCATCGTAAAATTGACGTAGAACCTTAGAATTATGTTTTTTATATGAATTGAATTCCAATAAATTCCTTCAAAGCTTAATTTCCTTTTGTTTTAAATTTCATCGACTTATTTTGCTTTTTTTCAGTCAATGTTATGAAAATTACGCGTGATTTTGTTATTGCTATCATCAATAACCAGATATTATACAATTTGCTTACAACAAGGTCAATCTAACAATGTCAATATATTTTGCCAAATGTAGATGATAACGAATGAAACGATTTGTTAGTTCCCAAATAAAATAGTCGAAAAACATTTTTTGATTACTCAAAAGACTACTTGATTAGTTATCATGATTGAGCGGATTCCAGAAGAAGATGAGGTAGAATCAAAAATTAGGATAAATACACCTGGATGCAATTCATCTTCCTTTTGGAATATTTTATTTTTCGGTTTCACTATCTGAAAAAATGTACTCGTCGAGAAGAGCATTTAATATCGAATAAAATTATTTGAATTATTTAGAATAAATTGAATTACAACGCAAATATAAAAGTGATCGACAGCTATGAATAAAATCGAAGTTTTTTAAATTTTAAACTTAACAGATCAATTCGCTATTTTTATTCTTCTTCGATATTAAAAATATGTCTATTTCATTTAATTTAGAAGAATTTCTTTGAAACATAAGTAATCATCGATTAATTAAAATCAAAATTCAAAACAGAAATGCACTTAGAAACTGGAAATAACGAGCCTGAGTATGAATGTATCGGAAGACTGTATTATTATCTTTCGTACAATGTGTTTCGATAAAATCACAACTTTCGTTGTATGTTGCATTTTTTTCCATTTTAATCCACTTACCCATTTTAAAATCCAATTCACCATCTTTATAAAGACACCGATATTCACATTCCGAAGTTCTAAATCATAATTAAATAAATGAACCAATTTGAACTTATACTTTAAAATTAAACTTTCAAGATTCCATTTAAAATAGAATTCTTTTAAAATTCAACAGTATGAAAGAACTGACAATAAAATCTATCGTTGAAATGAAGCGATCAATTCGTTGAAATAAAGCGATCAATTTGTTGTAAATATCGTAAAATCTTATATTTTTATCATTTTTTAATATTAAAGAAAATTTCATTTATTATGCACGTATTTCGGGTTTTAATCAATTCGCAAAAGAAAAATGCAAATTTTTGATAAATATTTTCAAAGATTATTCGATAAGATAGAAACGTACGTGTTATCAGACATTCGAATTGTGTTATACTTCAATTCGGTATGCATTTGACGACTTATACGGCATGTTTTATATGGATTCCAATCAGGATATAAATAAGGGATAAGTTGAGGGTCCCAAGGGTCAATTTGTTTAAGGTGGCATTCATTTTTCCTTCCAACGGTTAAATCTGTAAAAATGCAATTCCATTTGGTGCAAAATTTGGTTTTCATCAAATGAAATTCAATTGAAAATTAAAATGAACGGATAAGTAATAAATGCAATTTATATAATATAAATTGTAGCATTCATTTCATTTTTTCCGCTTTAGGAAAATTTCGATCGTTTTTTTTTCACTTTAAATTATTCCAATTAAATTTAATAATTTGCATTAATGGAACTTTTTAAGGAAAATGTAATATTAATTGAAAAAATATATTTGTAAAAATTATAAAATTTAACGAATACTTTGTTCAAAAAAGGGAAGAATTGATTGTTTTAAAGCGATCTGAGTGTGGACGTTACGGAAATACAAATTAATTATCAAAAGAAATAATCCAGTAATTAGTAATATAAATGCCACCAGAAATTCATTTGCCATTAATTTCACCATTATTGTATTGAAAGACCAACAGTGACTGATAGTAGCAATAAAAATAAAAATGTACTGAAATAATTCTAATAAGTTTTTGAATTAGCAATTTCTACATTTCTCCTTTATTTCATATAACTTAATAATCATACAAGAATGATCACAGCGTTAAGTATTTACGCTGTGATCAAATTATAGTTAATTTAATGATCTTTTAGGTCAGGCAAATTTTTATTATATTTATAGTTAAATAATTTCAAAAAATTCTTAGCCGACAATATTTGCCTTAACTATTGATAGGCTAATAAAGTATCTGTGACAGTTTCATTAATGAATAAGCTAAAATGATCAGCTTTTTGATACTTCGTGGCATTGTCAATTCAGCCATATCGTATTGTTTTTT